GGAGAAAAGTAGGAGAGTCATATTGGCACTAATGACTTGGCATTCCTGTTGTTGGGTTACAGTCGCAAGGGTGTGCGGGAGGCTGAACTATGGTGTCAGGCACGGTCACCGGGACCGACGCATTAGGAATCACAGTAGCATCAAGCTATTCACTCAGGTTCTTTTTCAGAGAAAGGGCCCATGCCCAAGACCCTGCCTCTCTTTCCCTTCTACAATGCAGCAGGTCACATCTGAATACTAAAGTAACCTAAAATAAACAGAAAATAATAAAATATAAAATAAAATAACATAAAATAAAGTAAAATAAACCCCAGAGCTCTGCACTGTACTATCAGTAAACACAAGCCCTGTTCTGCAGCCAGGGCTGAGTGGGGCAGTACTTATGGATGCCCGCCCTTGGTGTGCCTAGTTCCATAATCTACTTTGGTCTGTTCATTTGAAGAGAGGTAGACAGCTGAGCAGAGAGCATCCAAAGCCTTTGTACTATGAATAGGTGCCAGCCTGCTCAGGAGGAGGGGCTTCCTGACAGACTGGGCTGTCACTCACACCATTAAGCTCCTCCTTTCATAAATGTCCTAATTTGACCCTGACCCAGGACGATGGCCTCAAGGAAGCTTTGCAGTCCTAGCTGAGCGGCGTGGCTGTCATCAGTGTGGCATCTTACCTGGGCAGTTTCCTGCTTCTAGACCCTAATAGTATGTGGAACCCCCATCCCAGGAGGATGGTTCATTTGACAGGGTCCTGGGGTGATGGCATCCTCAGTGTTTCCCACCTGTGTCTCATCTCACTATCCTCTGTCTGTGGACATTGTATTTTTATAAGCGTCTGTCCCCCCAGATGATAAATTCTTAAAGCGCAAGGTCCCATCTGATTAATTTCTGTAGCCACCAATGCTCAGCACAGAACCAGACAGAGACTAAACCAGGAGTGGGGGACGTCTGTGTAAGGCCCAGGAAATCATTCAGTCTGGCCCTGCCAAGGCAGCTGCAGGTGGGACTCAAAGTTCAATAAATCTAGGAGCTTTTTCATAGCTAATTTTTAAGTTGATAATTTTATATAGCTTGCAAATGACATTATAAATATCCAAATGGCCCTTCACAGAAAAAAGGTTTTTGACACCTGGAATAAACACAGTTTTAAAAGAAATGCCTTCGAGGGTAAGGTATGGGGAAGTTGTGACAGTGAAATCACAGACTTTTGTATTACGTTCCATACAGAGATGCCACCCTACTTCTGCTCCACCCAGCGTGGGGGACAGAATAAAGTGCTGTCTTGAAATAACAGAAAACTAGCAGGCATATGCCTAGACTATTGGTCATACCTGGATCATCCAACTTCCTCGGAGCTGGAATTTATGAAGCAGGTATTTGGTCATAGGCAGTAGGTTAAACCTGTCTAGCCCAAGCTGTAAAAGGCTGTTCAGTTGGTTGCGGTAAAAAGATGCTGAGTGACGTGTACAGAATTCAAACTGCAAACACCTTAACTCAAGTGTCCTGTTGCTGTCAGCTGTGTCCTGCTTTAGCCTTTATTCAACTCTCAGCTCACAATGGCTGAGACTGTGTCCTGAGTGGGAAATAGTTTTGACAGATAGACCATCCAATTGTGCACTGAACTGAGCTGGAAAACTCTAGTTTGGAGGCTCCTGGAACCATAATCAGATGTTCTGAGTGCTGGAAGCTCAAGCCTGAAGTTTCCAAGAGCTGATCTCTCTCAAGGCCATCACGTATGAATGAATCACTTGGAGGCCACGGGAACTCTTTTTTAAGGTTTAATTTTTATTTATTTACCATTGAATTTATTGATTTTTTTCTTAATTTATTATAAAGAAACTTTCCTATAGCTAACTTCTCATTATAAAATATTTCTAGACCACCTCCCCAAATTTTAGAACACTTCTCTCTGCTGGCACTGTCCAGACACCCTGCTCCCCCTTCTTGTCCATATGCCCACCTACCTGTCGAGGCAGATATTTCAAATCTGTTGTATAGATGAGGAAACCTGGCTAGTCTCCCGGGGCTTGAAAGCAGGCCCCAGAGATAACCTGGCTCTGCCCACTTAGAGACCTACCAGTAGGATGTCTTATCCTTCGAAAGGACTCTCCACTTGCAAATTTGGAAGCTCAGAGGGTCAACATCAGCCAAAATCGAAACTCTTCTGCAACAGAGTCTGTTGCTGTGGGTTGGCTGAGTGGCTAGAGAAACCAGGAGCTCTCAAAGGACTAACCATCCTCAGCAAATACTTACTGAGCCCCAGCAGGGACACAGTGATAAATCAGACATGTCTCTGCTCTCGAGAAGGCATATTCATACAAGGGAGACATGCAAGGATGCAGACCAAGACACTGAGACAGTATTAGGAAGGAGTGGGCCCCGCCACCTTCTCCCCAGGAGCATAGCTCTCCAGCTGCCTCCAACCTGCCTCTAGGGCATTGAGTTTGCCCCAAGGTACCCTGAGGCCCGGCATCTGCTTCTCTGAATGTATTTGGTTCCTGAATAGCAAATTCCACCTACTCTCAATTTCAGCAATTTTTATTTCTAAGTAGTTCTGAGAAGTGTAACAGATAGTAAAAACAAAACACAAAAATGATGCTAAGAATGAAGACATACCAGACCATTCTCTTGGCAGGCATTTTGTTTATAATTTTTATCATCAATAATAGAATGTCCCTGTTTTACATTATATATTTATATATATTATATGTGTGTGTATATATATATATATATATATATATTAGATATCTATACTTCAATAGAAAGAGACATAAAAAACCCTTTTCAAATGAGGCATGACACATGACACTTGGCACTCTTATTTACAATATAGAGATGGACTTTCTACACAGAATAGATGCTCAGGGAGAGAGCGAGTTTACAAAGGCAGCAGAGCACCCCCATAAAACGAGGTGCACCATGCGGCTGGACGTTTATTGCCATGAGTTCTCACTATGTCCAGACAGCATATTGAAGTTATGCTGGTTTTTGGAAAAGACAATGGTCATTGGCTTAACCTTGGCTCCATAACCACCAGCTACACCGTCTTTCCAATGACCAGAGAACGACAAATGTTGCTGATGGAACATGGAAACACAAAGGGAAATGCACTCATCAGAGGGGCAGGGTTCTTCCTTGGGCCAAAGAGAGAAATTGCTACAAATGTAGGGTCCTGCACTGAGCATGGTGCTTGTCCAGGCAGGAACCACATTCCTCCTGGGTTAGACAGGGGATTGGCACTGATCATGGGTAACAGAGTCTATGCCCAATGGGGACTTGGAAAAATACCCAGTTGGAAAGTGCCCAAAGGACTTCCTGACCCCCTACATGTTAAGAACAGGGACAAGGAAAGTTCGAAGACCCACAGAGAAGCCCTAAGTCCCTTGCATGGAAGTCTGCCTTTGCAGAACATCCAACTCCTGCCTGTGTTTTTTCTCTCTTAAGAAATCTGCAAGTCTACTCTCCTGCAAAGTCACCTCTCTGGACACTTTCTCAGCATCTACATTGGTTTTCCAAAGCCACACTGTTAACATGTGAGGAATTAAGATCCCCAGACAAGCCACGATTTGCTTGGTTTCATTACCATGGCATTGGTGACCTAAGGGCATGGTCCAGGTGCTGGACCATGAATCTGGTCCCAGATGAGTTTCCACACTTTCTAAGGGAATTTTGCAGAAGCAGGAAAAGGGTTCTGGGATGATGACATTCTCAGTGTCCCCACTTGCTCTCACACCTCCAGGATAAGGGTCTCCTGTGTTAGTCATTCCTGCTGTCCTTGTTCATGTGTTCCTCGGTGCAACAAAATGATTCTCTAGGCTTCCTGTAGCCTGAAGAGTTTACTCAGTCTTAGGGACCATAGTAAACATCCCGGTAAGTTTCAAAACTTCCCCTTAAGCCACTTACCAATAACTTGAGTTGAGCCCTCCATCTGACTGTTGTCCACCTCTCTGATCTCATTTTGTTCCTATCTCTCGGTTGTTTATCAGTGGTGACCTTTCCTAGCCCTTAGTTTCCTAAGGCAATAAGACATTTCTATTGAAAGGTGCCCAGCACCCTTCTTGGAGCTCCCCTGAGGTTTTTGAATCCAGCTGGCCTCCATTTAGATGTTTTCTCCTTCCATGGACAGGAGGAACAGCTGGCCATGCTAATGGTATTAATTTTTTGCGATTGCATCAAGTGCTAACATAGCATTTCTTTGGAAGTGTACCAGCAGGAGCTTCCCACGTGCATTAATCTCGGTGCCCCCTTCTGCTAGCTTCAGTCAAAGTCAATTTTCCCAACCACAGAGAGAGATTTAAGCAGTCACAAAAATGATTTATGGAGCAGGGCTATGCATAGAAAAAGTCTGGAGAAGTAGGTGAGGGGACGCGTTCGCCACGTTTTTTCTAGTTTCCTCTAGCATCACCTCTATGCCCCCACACCTTCAACCACCCACCCACTGCCATCTGGACAGGAGCCAGGGGTCTATAGAGCAGGCCTCTGCCCCTCACTGAGGAAACAGGAGAGAGTGAGAGCATCACATTTTCCTGAACAAGTGGCACATTGAGTCTATTGAGGGTTATAGCTACACCAGTACGTTCACTCTGCACGGAGGGTAACCTGAGTTCTGAAATGCTTGTGTGCACTTAATTTAATCAGAATGATAAAGCTGTGAGCTAGTAACATACTGCACACGCCTAGTTAAAGTGGCGCGCTCTCTCTGCTAGCCTTGGGTGGTTGCAAAGGTGGGCTCCCCAACTCCAAGTTCTGTTGCTTTATTTTTGCTCATTTTCCCTAGAGAACGTCTTGGATGAGACTCCAGGTGGCTATACAGGCTCGGGCAGTCTTTAATAACACTGTTGGTTCGGCTTTCCAAACCTCCGAAATGGAAGCACCTGGGATACACATCCCGCCCTCTGCATCCCTCAGTGCCTTCCTCTCTGAGCTCCACCCTGGACTGGTCGGCTACAAAAGGGTGACTCGGCTGACGCTGTCTGGGGTCTTCCTGTGTCTGGCGAGTTCCCAAGGCCACTACTTGAAGTAGTTGAGTCCCACCACCAAGAAGAATTTCTCCAGGAAGAGCTCCGAGTCCAGCACGGCAATGTGGGCCGCGCGGCCGATCAGGGCGTTGGCAGTGTTGGGCAGTGCGTGGAACACGCTGTGCCGGACCAGGGTGCAGTCCTTGGCGTCCACCAGCGGCCGCAGCAGGTTGTCGATCATTTCCGCGTACACGGGCCCTGCGGGAGGGAAGGGAGAGGCAGTCCTGGGGCTCTCGGCCAGGAGCCTAGAGAGCAGCCCTGGGTTCCTATCCCTGGGCAGAAAGTCGGATAGGCCCGATTACGCAGAGTTGATTGGACGAGTGTATGTTTGCTTTTATTTTATTATTATTTTTAATCCTTATCAGAGGGTGTTTCTAATGATTTTTTTTTTTATATATCTTTATTGATTTTAGAGAGAGGAAAGGAGAGGGAGAGAGAGAGACAGAAACATCAATGATGAGAGAGCCATTGATCGGGCCCACAGCCTGGGCATGTGCCCTGACCAGGATTCGAACCCCAATCACCTGGATCCCAGGTCGACGCTCAACCACTGAGCCACACCCGGCCGGGCTCTAATGATTTTTTTAGAGAGAGAGGAAGAGGGTGGAGAGAAACATCAATGTGAGAGAGAAACATCAAAGGGTTGCCTCCTGTACAGGCCCTGACTGGAGATCAAACCCGCAACCGCGTGGTATATGGGATGACACTCCAACCAACTGGCTAGGGCTGAATGTTTGATTTTTTTTTTTTTTTTTATTGATTGATTGATTTTAGAGAGAGGGAGAGAGACAGACAAAAACATCGATTTTTTGTTCCACTTATTTACACATTCATTGGTTAATTTTTGTATGCGCCCTGACCAGGGATCTAACCTTCAACCTTGGCGCATCAGGACGATGCTCCAACCAAGCTACCCGGCCAGGATTACATTTGCTTTTTAAATCATAAGAACAGAATGTGGCTTACCTGTGTGTCTGTCCTTGAGGGCAGTTTTGCACATTTCGATCCTGGCTGAGTGAAATGGCACATAGCGATCTTGGGGCGAAGCCACCAGCACGACATTTTTGAAATGCTCCAGACCTGCAACAAGCCAGGGGGGTGTTTTTTACCCAGGGAGTTTCAGTGTGCACCCTCTGGTTTGCACACACTGTACAGACCTGCAGGAAAGAGGGTGAGCGAGCGAGCAAGCAGATTGTGGCACACAAGTTGTGTGGCTGCATAAGGACCTTCTGGTCTGAGAGGCTGATAAAAGCATTTGCCGCACTGGGGTTTTGTATGTATAAGGTAGATGAGGGATTTGTGCTCCTCACGCAAGGAAGCTAAGGTGACACAGAGAAAGCCACTCTGGACAGGACAAGCGAGGCATATGGGAGGGACAACAATGTGTCCCTGGTCCAGCAGCACTCAGGAGTCCAGGAGGAAGTCAGTGTGGTGTTTTGCTCCTCCCCTCACCCACTGCTGTCCTCTGCTCATTCCAGTGACCAGTGGGGCTTCTGCACCCCTGTGCTCATCCTTACTGTGGACTGTGGGTGGAGTGCTCTCAGGCCTGCCCGGGAACGACCTGCCTCCCCTGAACTGTCAACATGGATGGACCGCATTCGTCTGCTCTTCTATGCGGGGATCTGTACCTGGGTGAAGGAGCGGTGAGTTGGCCCCAGACCTGGAGCCTGTGTGATTAGGAGATTAAAGGACTGGTGGGAATCAGAGGCCACAGCTCTCCCGTAGAGATACCCCTGCACCCACACCTTGGCTCCCATCTGTGTTGCCTTTCATAGGCCATCAGGGTGACGGGCCAGGAGCGGCTGAGTTCTTGGGTAGCCATTGGCCTCCTGTGAGTTAAGAGGCTGTGCCCCCTGGTGAAACCCTCTGTGAGTGAATCAGTGGAGCGTTGGAGCCAGTTTGGGTCAGAGAGTGGGTGTCAGCTCAGAGTTGGGACCCCCAGCTGGGGAAGCGGCTCACCTGTCTTTTGGCTGAGTTGGTAGAGGAAACACTTGCGGAGATCGGCATTATCCCTGAAGGTCAGCTGCAGGAGGGAGCCGGATTTCTTTAGTTTCTGCATGAGCCACAAGCCTGGGAAAACCAAACCAAGCCAAAATCAAACACACAAAACAAAGGAAGCAAAAAATAGGGAGAGAGCAGCATTTAACTGTGATTTTTAGTTAACTTAAAAATAAGAGGGTAGTAGGCAATTTAGCAAAAAAGTGAGATGTTAGAGGGACACCTGTATTCTCAAGCACTGGGGGCAGAGAGAAAAAAACATCCTGCAAAATGATACGGCGACAGGCTTCAGGAGTCCTGAAAATACCCATACTCTTCAATGTACTCAGTCCCCCTCCCTAAGTCCAGGCTAAAGAAACAATCCTAAATGAAAAAATATATAAAGAATGCTCCTTACAGATCCAGCTGGGGTACAGGAAAACAAAGCCAAACTTTTGTCTCAGAGGCCATCCGTTTCCCCACGGCTATGCTGACACATGATGAGGATGAGTATCATGTCCCAATCACGCATTTCTTTATAAAGACACAAGGAAATAGCAAGGTCCAATGTTTACATATATGGTCATTCCCACCGTGTAAATGTATGTGCCTGCTGGGTAAGCACCATGAACTGTACACAGGGACTGGATATGCTTCATTCCCTGACTTGTGAGGAAAGACCAAGAGACTGAGGAGAAAACTCACATTTACAGATAAGTTCTGAAAATAACACAAGAGCAAACAAATACTCCAACTCAGCGAGAAGAGCAGGCAGCCCAGCCTTCCCTGAGTGCAGGGCAAGGATCGGGCCAAGGCTGGGGGCCGGAGATGGGCACCAAGAGGGGAGCTTGAACAGGTGACCCTAGATGCCACAGAACGGGCTGTGCCAATCAGGGACTCCTGACGTCTTCACAGGGAATTCAATATACTATACACAAAACCCAGCAGCCTACTTGGGCTGCCATACGACAGAGCATGTCACTTCCAGAGTTATTGCCCATCAGTAGTGTCCTATGACTAGTGACTAGTCTAACACTTGTCATAGCATCAGGCTCCTGCTGAGAGCTCCACGATGTCTTCTGCCCCACTCCAGGTCATCCTGAGTGTTTCTGTCACAAAGAGCCACCTGTAGCTTGCTGATCACACCAAGCTTCTAGGTTACTAAACACACTATGTCTTCTGCACAGGAAGCTTGACCCACTAATTCGCTGCCTAGAAATCCTGCCCATCCTCCAGATTCATTGAACCTTGGGCCTGGCCCCTTTGTCAACGGTAATGTCACTCCCTTACAATAGAGGAACCGGCGAGAGCCTCAGAGCTGGGAGCCGAGTCCTCACCATCCAGCAAGAAGTGTCGAGTCTGCTATGGCTCACCTTCCACACGTTGGTTAACCTCTTCAATCCTTCCCCTGTTTAATCCCCAACAATTTAATACACATGCAAACACACACCACATATATGTGTGTTTAGAGACATGGATGTACATACATGCACACACATGTCATAGATGTATTCATTCCATACATATACACAAACATACATATGCATATTCGCTTTATTTTAAACATAAGGAAACTAGCACAGAAGTTCAAAGTCTCGGCCAGAGTCCTCAGTAAATGCCTGGGTTAGACCTTAACCGCAGGCTTGTAGTGGCTATGACATGATTGAAAGCCATTGCCATAGACTCTGCCCCCAAAGACATACAGCTGTGCTACAGACCAAATGTTTGTACTCCCCCAAGCTCATATGTGGGAAACCCCTCAATGTGATGGTATTTGGGGTGGGACCTGTGGGAAATTTAGGTCATGAGGCTGGAGCCCTCCTGAATGGGATTAATGCCCTTATCAGTGGAATCTGGGGTCCCTAGACCTTAGACTTCCAGCCTTCAGAACTGAGAAATACACGTCTGCTGTTCAGGAGCCCTCGGTCCATGGTAATTGCTACAGCAGCCCATATGGACTGAGATGCCTGTGCTCTCTTCACACCATCAGCCTCTTGAACCTTTTCAAGCTGGCACCCCAGGGACATCACCTGTTTTTTTTTTTGAATCCTCAATTGAGGATATTTTTTCCATTACTTTTCAGAGAGAGTGGAAGGGGGCGGAGAGAGAGGGAGACATAGTGCCTCCCGCACATACCCTGATGGGGCCAGGGATTGAGGGTGCAACCGAGATATGTGCTCTTGGCTGGAATCGATCCCAGACTGATGCTCTAACCGCTTAGCCAAACTGGCTAGGACGAGACATCACCTTTTGTTCCCAGAAGCCTGAAGGCAGAAGAGGTTCTGGGACCATCTAGCCTAACCTCCCTCAGCACGTACCGAAGGCCGCCCTTCTCAGCCCATGCCTCTCTACTGCCCATGCTTGGAGAAGCTCCGAGTCACGGGTCCCATCAAGAAGAGTCTGCCTCTAGCTTCACCTCCCGTCTGCCCCAGGGAACTCTGAGCAATGACCAGTGTAGGAAAGTCTTACCTGTACTAACCAGGGTGCTATTATTGTACAGGGTCCCCAGGTGAGGCCCGGACAGTGACAGGAACGTGTGGAGTTTGTTGAGGTAATACCGGAACCGGGGCCTCGTGAGGACCGATCGGATGATGATGTTGCCGAGAGAATGGCCGATGAAGCTGTTGGGAGAGAGAAACAATGTCCATGAGTGTGACCCTAGGCCAGCTGTGGAGAGTCCTGAGGGCACCGGGGGTCAGCGCCCTGAACCTCCCACTGGATTTCGAGGCACTGGCACAGAGAATGGGGCCGCTAATTCACCCCATCAGGTTTCCAAACCCTGGCCCTGGTAAGCTTGAGATGGGGTTTTGTGAATGGAAGCCTCTGTGCCCAGTGTGGTCAGAAGAGATGGGTGGGCATCTTGCCCAGCTTTATATTATTAGAACAGCCCCCTCCCCCCATCTGGTCTCCATGTCTCCTCTGGGTCCACCTGGGGGTCCTTTCTGAGCACTGGCCCATCATGACCTGGCGTGTGAGCACCTCTCCAGCTTCATTCATTCATCACTCGTTCCCCCTCTTGCACTGTCCTGCTGCCTGCTCTCCGCCCACACTGCGGACGCCCCTCTCCTGCTCTGCAGCAGTCCTGCTCTCACAGACCTATGGATCCATCACAGCATTGTTTTCAAGTTTAAGTATTACTGTGGGAACCCTGTTTATGAGAGGGACACCTCCTCACCTCTCCCCAACCTGTCCTGTGATTGTCATCTGATCCCTGGAGGTCTCTGAGCCCCCATTTGTGAAACAAGGAGGAAGTGACACTTTTTTCTCTGAGGCCTGAATGGGCTCACGCATAGTGAAGGACCGCACTCTGCCCACACGCTGCTAGTGCAAGCTGGGTGCTATCGTCTTCCTCGCGTAAACGTTTAAACAAGTCATCTGCTACAGTGGGAAGACACAGCAGCCACTGACGCCTCTTCCTGGCAGGAAATCTGCTCAGCTCTGTGACACATCAGCTCAGCACTGGTCCCACCTCATAGAAACAGAGGCTCGGGGATGAAAAAGCTTGAAAAGGTTACGTGGTAGAGCTGGGGTTCAGACTTGTGGGTGGAAGAACAGCAATGCAACCCTAGGAATATTAGACTAAGTCCAAGTCTCTCTCTACTGAGCTGCAAATGGTTCTTCTCCTTCACATATACTATGGTAGATGACGGCTGTGTCACTTCTGCTCTGAACGTTATCTACGCCAGTAAAAGCCCCCGGCCAACTTATCCCAGGGGATACAGAAGGCGTCGTGTTGGCCTTGTGTGCAGCGGACACTCAGAGCATCCCGCCTCTGCCTGCATCAGCCCCCGGCTGCCTTTTACCTGATCCGCGATATGGAGAGGTTGTACAGCTGGATGTGCTGGATGATCTCATCCAACAGCCGGTCTGTCATGGTGTCAAAGTCCGCAAACGTGTCCATCTGGAAGAGGAGAAAGGAAATGGGCATCGGCGGGGGTGTGGCAAGGCCAGGCTCTTCCATTAACATTGTGGTGCCTCCTGGGAGTGCGCCTCAGCCTGATGCCAGGTAAGGATTGAACCTAGACGTCGAGAAACACGGCTCACAGGTTAGGACCCTACTGAAGAAACTTGGGAACACTGAAGATTCCTCAGTTAAGAAGTTGACTGCCTGGCCGGGCATGGCTCAGCGGTTGAGCATTGACCTAGGATCCAGGAGATCGGGGTTCAATTCCCGGTCAGGGCACATGCCCGGGTTGTGGGCTGGCAGCCAATCAATGACTCTCTCATCATTGATGTTTCTATCTCTCTCTCCCTCTCCTTTCCTCTCTCTGAAATCAATAAAGATATATTTAAAAAAAAAAAAGGTGACTGACAATGGAAGGGAGAGATGGAAGAGAGGAAGAGCAACACGCAGGCCGTCCCCTGGGACAGAGGAGGGAACATGTGCTGAGGGGTGATGACGGCAGGAGCCAGGACTCCTACCCAGGCCTGCCTGACTCTAGAGCCCCTCCCTTCCCCCAGCATGGCCTTTAGACTCTGCTGCCAGGCTGCATCCAGAGGGCAGATGTCCACTTTGAGAAGGATCCCAAAGCCATCAGTGTCTTTGGAAGGATGGTCAGAGGATGTGGGAACATAAAAGGAAGAGAAATGTCACGTGTGTCTGAGCATCAGAAGGGCAGACATGGGGAGGAAGCACATGAGACTGGTTCATAACACTTCAAGGCCTCACTTTTGGAAACACAGATGGGAACATAAGGCAGGAGGCTTGGGGTCAACATGAAAAACGGTTTCTCATAAGTGGAGCTGTCCCACAATGTCACCGGCTACCAGGAGCTGTGCCGAGGTTGAGGTCTCCTGAATACTCATTGGGGGGGAGGGGGGAGTGAAGAGAAAGTCTGTGGGGCTCATTGTCACTTGCCATCAATGAACCTTGAGGCCCTAGAGGGATAAAGCTCACCGGTCACTTTCCTAGTGTCCATGGACTAAGAAAGGACTGTGTTTGAGGCCAGCTCTCCTGCTTAGGGGATCGGTGCTGGGGTCTGACCCCTCAGTCGGAACCTAAGTCTCCTCCTAGGTCTTGAAGGCCAATACTGTAGCCTACTCCTTAGTGTTAGTTTACAAATTAGGTAAAATATTTGCAACACACATAAGACAGATGCTGCCACATCCATTATCCCTTAGCTTTCAGACCCTCTTTCTTCATCTGCATATTAGTAATTTAACATGAATGATAAATAAATGGTAATAATTATAAGGTCTGAAATGCTCTGAAAGCCGCAATAGGTTTTTAAAAATGATATCAGGAACTTCCCAATCAGCATATTTTTAACTGGATATACTGAAAATCTACATGCTTATAAGATTTACAATTATCAAAAGTAATAGCATGTTGCGGAACATAATCTTTCCTGAGTGACTGACAACTCACCCCCTCCGCCCATGTAGGTTACTTCTCTGTGGAGCCAGCTCTAGACTCCCTAGGTATCTGGGTTCTACCCCAGCGCCTCGAGGGCTGCACCAGAGGGCTGCACGCACCCCTTGCTGACAGCACCCATGTTCTCTGCAAAGACAGTCTTGTTAGCACAGATCACACACAGCCACCACGTGCTGGTCACTCCCTCTCCTGACCCATCCTCTGAACTTCCTGGGCATCCTGAGTCCCCACCTCCCTTAGGACTTGAGGCATACTGGGCACATACTGCGTTGGGGTGCACAGGATTATCTTCCTGGGGAGCATGGAGGTGACTTCCCCATGTCACACTGACACTGGAACCCTGGATAACCTCAGAGCCTCTGTTCCCTCGCACTGAGGAGATGATGGTGTCAACACGATTAAATGAAGAAGCATGTAGACAGTGCTTAGCACATGGCACTGAAATGATTCTCCCTCCTCACCTCACATTTGTTCCTCTTCCCACTGCATAGCACATGCCCTTGTCTATAGCAGGTGTCCAGGAAGAAACAGCAGACCTGAGCACTAACAGTGGCGGGATGAGGCTCCGCCTTCCGGTGTTGGCTTTTTGATTACTCTGGACAGTTCCCATTTTCAGTGGTCATAGGACCCTCAGTTCTAAGCAGTCTTTGCCTCCAAAGGATACTTGGCACTCATCTGTCTCGCTGTCATGGGGTGGGAATCAAGGACCCTCCTGTCAGCCCCACCTCTTGGTCATGGACTGTCTAAACCCTCACCTACCTGGACACCTCCTTAGGGATCCAGACTCTGCCAACCTTGGGATGACAATGACCCCTCAGTTTACCTGTGACTGTAAGGGGGGACAACCCAACTCCATTGGTCACAAGGATGCCAGGGACAGCCCCCCAGTGCAGACACAGACCCCCTAAGGCATGTATGCTCTGAGCTGTCACCCACCCTGATGCCCAGTGTGGTCAAAAGGCCCCAGTCACCTGACTCATGTCCCTACCTCTCCCTCTTTCCTCACCCTCCCCAGAACAATGAGTCCTTTCTCTGTGGACAACCTAAGAGCCGACCTGTGTTCTTCCGCAAGGTCCCCTCCTCTCTGCACGTCCACAAACTGTCCTGGTGACTTTTGGGGGCTCCTGTAAGACCTCATTCAGGGGGTCCTTCAGCTCTGATGATTTTTGTCATCATACCTGATTCTTCTCAGACATGAGGAAGTCCAGTTTGCCTCCAGGGAGCCCCAGTTCTATGAACGTCTTTACCAGCCGGAGGTCTGCACTGTTCCCTAAAAACGATGGACAAACCCACCCAATGTTAACCACATCAAAGCAGACACAGGAGATTTCTTTCTCCCTCCTTCCATCCCCACATTTACCATTATGATCGAGGCAACTATAACAAATGCAACCCACTGGTCCTGTGAATCACCCCCCAGGGTCAGGGCCTTTCTGGAAGTCCTCCCCAGTGGAATTATTCCCTGACCTGCAGACACGTGGCTGTGAACATTCTACACAGGAAGGGAGGAGGCACACCACACCCCTTCCACAGCCAGTTCTGTCTACTCAGGACATCCTGCAAGTGGTGCCACTTCGTGACATCTACAAGCCCCCTCTTAAATTTCTTGTTGAATACACAGACTATCCAGTTATGCCACTTACAAGTAGTCAGCGAGTCCCTCCATGGGCTAGCCAGGGTGTAGTTATCTAAACTAGAGTTACAGTCACCCTTGGGAGCAGGTATCATGAAGGTGGGAGTGTATGGATGCCACCTGCTCCACAGGGACCAGTGGGTGCATGGGAATGAGGTCTTGGGAATCTGAGGCTGTTGCTGATGGCGGATACAGAAAAAACACATTTCATTTCTTCTTTCATTCCATTTGTCCATTCATTTCTCAATTCATTCATTCATGTACATCATTTTCTCAACAGATTTTTGTACCAGACAGCTCTTTTCTTTGGGGGCAAGGCTATGCCATCTCCCTATACCCAACATACTTACTGTCACCCCACAGTTGCTAACTGACCAGCTGTGGAAGGAGTGCCTGATCCAAATTAATCCATAAACATTATAAATTGTTCAGAGCATAGAATTTTGAGGAGGAATCCATTTTGGAACTTACCATCCAGGCCATGGACACAGACTACCAGGTGAATGCCGTCCTCCAAGTCCCCCTCCTCTTCCTCTGGTGGGAGATATGGTATATCAGAAGCTAGTACAGATAAGTCACTGTACAGAAATCCATCAATCTTCAGCTCTTTTTTAAATTTTTCTTTGGCCTGATAGAAACTGGAGAATACACTAATTAATCGCACGCCACGCTGTGCACTGAATGCTGAACAGGAAATGGGTTGAGCTGGGATGTGGGCATGATGAGTGTCTACAAGGAAGCATTTGCTGAGTGGCAGAGGCTGGATGTATGGCCTCAGGGGAGATGCCAGTGAGGGAGGCTTGTTCTGAATAAGGAGACAGGAGAGCACCCCTGAAGCCCAAAGGCTACACCTGTTTGGGTTCAACAGATTTCTATGTGGTTCCTGCATTGAGCAGGACTTGTAAGGTTCTACCCAGCTCCAAGGATCCACAATCTTTGAAAAGACATCCCCAGAGCGAGAGCTCCTTGCCCTTGCCCACAAGGCTTCCCTAGCTTGGCTTCCACCTG